ATAAAAAAAAAAGGCTAAGGAATATGTTAACAACAAACCAGCGCTGCAAGATATGACTGCTGTAATTAGTAGAAGAAATGGGAAGAAAAATAGAACCACACTAAACATAAATGGCAATAAATAAGCACATATCAATTATCACCTAAAATGTGAATGGTTTGAATGCTCTGATAAAAAGACAGAGAGTAGCTGACTGGATAAGAAAGCATGATTCATCTATATGTTATTTACAAGTCACCCACCTCACAACAAAAGACTCACATAGGTTGAAGGTGAAGGGATATAAAAAAATCTTTCAAGCAAACGGAAAGCAAAAAAAGTTAGGGTAGCAATACTCATATCTGATAAATTAGATTTCAAAATGAAGGCCATAACTAGAGACAAAGACAGCCACTACATAATATTGAAAAGATCTATCCAATAGGAAGCTGTAACCTTGGTAAACATATATGCATCCAATTTAGGAGTACCAACATACATTAAAAATCTTTTGGAGGACTTCAAAGGAAAAATCAACAGCAATACAATCAAAGCAAGCGACTTCAGTACCCCGCTGACATAACTGGATAGATCTTCTAGACAAAAAATTATCAAAGAAACACAGACTCTATGTGAAGCACTACATCAAATGGATTTAAGAGATATCTACAAGTATTATACCCCAAAACGGCATAATTCACATTCTTCTGAAGTGCACATGAAACATTCTCAAAGATAGACCACAAGTTAGGGCACAAACAAAGTCTCTACAAGTTTAAGAAGATTGAAATCATCTTCTCAGGTCACAATGGCATGAAACTAGAATTCAATTGCAATAAGAACATGCAAAGACATTTGAAAATATGGAAACTAAATATCATGTTATTGAACAATGAATGGGTTACCATGGAGATCAAGGAAAAAATTAAAAACTTCTTGGAAGCAATCAAAAGGAACACACAACAGCACAACATTTATGGGATGCAGCGAAAGCAGTTCTGAGCGGGAAGGTCATAGCACTACAGGCCTACCTCAAGAAGCAAGAAAAACTTCTAATAGACTATCTAACCTCACAACTTAAGAACTAGAAAGCAAACCAAAAGAAAACCCCAGAGCAAAGTAGAAGGAAGAAAATAGTAAAGATCAGAGCAGCAATAAATGACATGGAGACCAAAAAACAATTCAAAGGATAAATGAAAAAAAGAGCTGGTTCTTTGAAATCATAAACAAGATTGATAGACCCTTAGCTAGACTCGCCAAGAAACAAAGAGAGAGAACCCAAATACATAAAATCAGAAATAAAAGAGGAGAAATAATAACTGACACGACAGAAATACAAAGGATTGATAAAAGATATTATGAACAATTATACGGCAACAAATTCCACAATCTAAACGAAATGGACAAATTTCTAGAAACACATAGTCTCCAAAAACTGAACTGGGAAGACATAGAAAACTTGAACAAACCAATAACAACAAAAGAAATTGAAGATGTAATCAAGACTCTCCCCGTAAACAAAAGCCCAGGCCTGGATGGTTTCACGGGGGAATTTTACCGAACATTGAAAGAAGAACTAATACACATTTTCCTCAAACTATTTCAAAAATTTCAAAAAGAAGGAAGACTTCCAAACTCATTTTAGGAGGCCAGCATAATCTAATTCCAAAGCCAGAAAAAGACACTACAAACAAAGAAAACTAAAGACCAATATCCCTGATGAACATAGATGCCAAAATCCTGAACAAAATACTAGCAAATCGAATCCAGCAATAGATCAAAAAAATTATTCACCATGACCAAGTGGAATTCATCCCAGGGATGCAAGGCTGGTACAATATTTACCTATCAATAAATGTGATACACCACATAAATGAAATGAAAGGTGAAAATCATATAATCATATCAATAGATGCTGAAAAAGGATTCGACAAAATCCAGCACCCATTTCTGATAAAAATGCTCAGCAATCTGGGAATAGAGGGATCATATCTTAACATAATAAAAGCCATATATAAAAGAGCCACAGCCAAAATCATATTCAAAGGGCAAAAATTAAAAGCATTTCGCTTAAGAACAGGAAACAGACAAGGATGCCCACTTTCACCACTTTTATTTAACATAGTACTGGAAATCTTAGCCACAGCAATCAGACAGGTAGAAAAAATAAAAGGGGCCCTGGCCGGTTTGGCTCAGTGGTTGGAGCGTTGGCCTGCGGTACAGAGAGACCCGGGTTCGATTCCCGCTAAGGGCACGTACCTCGGTTGCAGTTTGTCCCCGGCCCTGGTTGGTCGTGCGGGTGGCAGCCACTCGATGTGTCCCTTTCACATCGATGTTTCTCTCTCTCTCTCTCCCTCCCGCTCTATCTGAACAAAAAATGGAAAAATGTCCTCGGGTGAGGATAAAAAAAAAAAAAATTAAAAAAAAAAATTAAAAAAAATAAAAAATAAAAAATAAAAGGGATCCAAATTGGAAAGGAGGAAGTGAAACTGTCATTATTCGCAGATGACATGATACTATACGTAGAAAACCCCAAAGACTCCATCAAATATTTGCTAGATTTAATATATCAATTTGGCAAAGTAGCAGGATACAAAATTAACATCAACAAATTGATGGCATTCTTATACACCAATGATGAACACACTGAAAAAGAAATTAAGAAAACAATGCCATTTACCATTGCGGCAAAATAATTAAGATACCTAGGAGTAAACTTAACCAAAGAAATAAAGGACCTATTCACCGAAAACTACAGGTCATTGAAAAAAGAAATAGAGGAAGATATATAAAAGTGGAAGCACATACCTTGTTCATGAATTGGAAGAATTAACATCATTAAAATGTCCATATTACCCAAAGCAATCTATATATTCAATGCAATTCCCATCAAAGTACCAATGACATACTTCACAGAACTAGAACAAAAACTTCTGGGACCAAAAAAGACCTCGAGTAGCCACAGCAATCTTGAAAAAAAAAGAACAAAGTAGGAGGGATCACATTACCAGATTTCAGGTTATACTACAAAGGCACTGTAATCAAAACATCCTGGTACTGGCACAAGAACATACATATAGATCAGTGGAACAGAACAGAGAACCCAGGAATGGACCCAAGGCAATATGCTCAATTAATACTTGACAAAGATGGCCAAAGCATACAGTGGAGTAGAGACAGCCTCTTTAATGAATGGTGTTGGGAAAATTGGACAGCTACATGCAGAAAAATGAAACTAGACCATCCACTTACACCATACACAAGAATAAACTCAAAATCGATAAAAGACTTGAATTTGACTCATGAATCCTTAAAAATCCTAGAAGAAACTGTAGGCAACAAAATTTCAGACATCATACACAGCAGAATTTTCAGTGATACATCACCTAAAGCAACAGAAACAAAAGAGAAAATGAACACATGGGACTATATCAAACTCAAAAGCTTCTGCACAGCAAAAGATACAATCATCAAAATGGAAAGGCAACCCACTGTGTGGGAAAACATAATTGCCAATGATATGTCAGATAAGGGGTTAATTTTCAAAATATATAGAGTATTCATACAACTCAAGAAAAGGAAAACAAAGAACCAATTAAAAAATGGGCAGAGGATCTAAATAGACACCTCTCCAAATGGGACATACAAATGGCTAAAAGACATATGAAGAAATACTCAACATCACTAATCATCAGTGAGATGCACATTGAAACAACAATGAGGTATCACCTCACACCTGTCAGAATGGCCGCCATCAACAAATCTTCAAAGAAGTGTTGGCGAGGGTGTGGAGAAAAGGGGACTCTAGCACACTGCTGGTGGGAATGCAGACTGGTGCAGCCACTATGGAAAACAATATGGTGTTACCTCAAAAAATTAAAAATTGAACTTCCATTTGACCCAGTGATCCCACTTCTAGGAATATACCCTAAGAAGCCTGAAACACCAATCAGAAGGAATATATGTACCCCCATGTTTGTAGCAGCACTATTTACAATAGCTAAAATCTGGAAACAACCCAAATATCCATCAATAGACAAATGGATAAAAAAAGTTGTGGTACATATACACAATGGAGTACTCTGCAGCTGTAAGAATGAAAGCTATCTTATCCTTTGAGACTACATGGAGGGTGCTGGAAAGTATTATCCTAAGCAAAACAAGCCAAACAAAGAAAGTAAAATATATTATCTCACTTATTCATGGAATATAAGGAACATAGTCTGAGAAATGGGGTAGTTCCAGAAATGTGGAAGTGGGGTACAGACTGACAATCCCCAGGAGAGGGGTTGGTGGGGGAGAGATAAACCACAGAACTTATATGCATGTATGCATGAACAATGGACATGAACAACAAAGCTGGTGATAGGGTGTGGAGGGAGGTGAAGGGGGAATCAGTGGGAGAAAAGGAGAAACATGTGTAACAAAAATAAATTAATTAAGAAAAAAATTGAAAAATTAAAAAAAGAAAAGAAATACATTTCGAGGAGATGTGGGAGAAAGAAATACATTTTATGAAATATTACTATGAAGCTCTTGGCTAGCCTTTGAATAGCAGGTGTTTTAAGTATGCTATTAAATATCTGTAATGTACAGTTAAGGGAATTACAAAATAGTGAAAGAAAGGTGAGCTTACCAAACAAGGATTTCATTGTAGATATTGTCTTCATCCAGTGATCTTAAAGAAACAAGTTACAATTAAATATTAAATGGAAGAACCTTCTATTGTTCCACATCTGGATGTTGCATCTGGGAATGTTTACATTCCTTTGTTGAGCCAATATCTCCATAAGCTTTTTGCAGGTATATGTTGAACACTTCTGTTTCATGGTCAAGAAAGGATCAGAGGCCATGGATACTGACAACTGATTTATTCTGTCTTTTTCCATGACTGTATACACTGCCTTATCTTGAATTATAAGCAAAATTTTTTTTGTAGTTATCTAGGAATAATACTGAAAATATTGCTGTTATTTTTGGTGAAGAAAGTAAATGTTGTATAGTTTATTTCAATGTAAATAAAATGTGAATTTTGTTTAAAAAAAATTTGAGTGTCATTCATGTGCAGTGGTCATGCTAATTTTCTCTGTACCATTCCAATTTTAGTATAGGTGCTGCCAGAGCGAGCACACCATTATTTTCTATATAGCACTTGTCATGAATTGTCATATTATATGAATTGTTTTTGTTGTTGTTGATAAGATTTTTGACAAGATGTGAGAGCTACATGACAGTAAGTTACCAAGATCAGAATTGTGGCAGGAGGTCCTGGGGCAGGGGGCTTCCCTGCCCTACAACTTATTTGTTTTTTAAAGTATTGTTTTCCTCTCCCATTAGATTGTAAGCTCCATGAAAACAGGGAGTCGATTTATATTTTTCTGTCCAGCATCTTATAAACAGTGCCTTTCACATTACAGGTGCCTAATAAATACTGTATTAAGAAACTGTGGCCCTGGCCAGTGTGGCTCAGTTGGTTAAACATCCTCCTATGCACCAAAACATCACTGGTTCACTTCCTGGATAGGGCACATGCCCAGGTTTCAGGTTCAATCCCTGATGGCAATGCATGCGAGAGGCATTTCATATCTATGTTTCTCTCTCTCTCTCCCTTCCTCTCTCTATCTAAAATCAATAAAAACATATTTAAAAAAATAAATAGTGGTACTTCCAGTCAAGATGGTGACATAGGTAAATATGGTACTCGCCTCCTCCCACAACCACATCAAAATTACAACTAAACTACAGAACAAACATCATTCAGAACTACCTGAAATTGAGCTGAATGGAAGTCCTACAATTACAAAATTAAAGAAACCACATCAAGACTTGTAGGAGGGGAAAGGTACAGAGGCACAGCTATCTGGTCCCACAACCACACGTGCAGGATAAAAATCAGGAGAGATACCTTGGCTGTGAAGGTCCTCCCAGAGGAGCAAGGGGGCCCCATCCCACACCAGGCTCCCATCTCAGGGTTCCAGTGCCAGGAAGACAAGTCCCTATAACTTCTGGCTGTAAAACCAGCTGAAATTGAGGCTGAGAAAGGCCAAAGCTGCTGGAGTCTAAGGCAGTTTCTCTTAAAGGGCCAGTGCATGGACTTACTTGGACTCACTCAGTTTGGGCTCCAGCATGGGGGAGGCATCTTGGAAGGCACCAGAGACATATGGGGAAAAACAGTTGTTTGGCATTGGGGTGAGAGATGGAGAGGCAGCTTTCTCCTGGATAAACGTGCTGGTGGAGGCCATTGTTCCTTTTGTGAGCCCTACCCTCATGGGCCTGAAAGAGAGAAACCATATCTGGGACTCCAGCAACCTGGCTCACACTGTTTGCCCTGCCCTGGTGATTCCCTGAGGCCCTGCCCCACCCAAATTGTGGGCCCACCCAAGCTATTTATAATGGCTTTACCATAAGATTTGCCTGTCTTAGATCCTCCTTCAGATTTTCCTAAATAGGCAACATCTGGTCTCAGCAAGCCCCATACCTCTTAAGTGGCCCCAGGCCTAACACTAGAAGTAGCCAGACTTGGTTCACAACTTGGCTTTGCCTGGGCATCTCCAAGCCCAGCACAAGAAGCAGCCATCAGCAGATAGCTTTGTAGCTTATGCCTGGTGGCCCCCGATAGAACACAGGCAGTGGCTGACCTTGCCCCAGAGCCAGCACAACCAGTGGACAGCTTCAAACCACATCAAAACACCACCACCCAACCTCTTCCACAAGTGACACACTCGAATGGACTCACTGGGTACCAAGGCCCTGCTAAAGTAGGTCTTGCTCTGTGTGATGGGACCCTACACAGTTGATCCTCCAAGGGAGTCAGAGGCCAGTGGTCAGTGGGCACAGCCAGTCCTTACAGCTGATCAGCCAGAGTAAATCCCTCCCTTTGACATGCAAACAGCAATGAAGATTCAATTACAACAGAAGGGTGTACAGTCCACACTAGGGGTGCACCTCAAGGGCCCAGCTGAAATAATCAGGGAGGCTGTGCCACTGGACCCTATAGGACTCCTATAATAGATCACCTTACAAAGCCTAGGAGATGTAGCAACTCTACCTAATATATAGAAACAAACACAGGGAAGTAGCCAAAAATAAAGACAAAGAAACATGTCCCAAATAAAAGAACAGAACAAAATTCCAGGAAAAGAATTAAACAAAATGGAGATAAGCAATCAATCATATGTGGAGTTCAAAACACTGGTTATAAGGATGTTCAAGTAACTTTGTGAGAACCTCAAGGAACTTAGTGAGAACATCAACAACATAAAAAGGACCAGTCAGAAATGAAGGATACACTAACAAACATAAATAATAATTTACACCCTGGCCAGTGTTGCTCAGTGGTTGAGCATTGACCCATGCACCAATAAGTTGCCAGTTCAATTTCTGGTCAGGGCACATGCCCAGGTTGTGGGCCAAATCCCCAGTGGGGGGCATGCAGGAGGTGGCCAATTGATGTTCTCTCTCATCAATGTTTCTCTCTCTCTCTCCTCCCTTCCTCTCTCTCTAAAGTCAATAAAGAAAAAAAAATTTTCAAGAATAATTTACGGAAATCAATAGTAGAGTAGGTGAAGCCAAGAAGCAAACCATCAATTTGGAATGTGAAGAAGCAAAAAACACCCAATCAGAACAGCAAAAAGAAAAAAGAATTAAAAAAATAAGGATAGTGTAAGGAGCCTCTGGGCAACTTTAAGCATGCCAATATTCGCATCATGGGATTGCCAGAGGAAAACAAGGAGAGCAAGAAATTGAAAACCTATTTTAAAAAATAATGACAGAAAACTTCTCTAACTTGGTGAAGGAAACAAACATATAAGTACAAGAAGCACAAGGAGTTCCAAACAAGATGTACCCAAAGAGGTCCACACCAAGACACATCATCATCAAATTGCAAAATGTTAAAGACAAAGAGAGAATCATAAAAGCAGCAAGAGAAAAGCATTTAGTTACCTACAAAGGAACTCCCATAATACTGTTAGCCGATTTCTCAAAAGAAACTTTGTAGGCCAGAAAGGAGTGGCAATATATATTCAAAGTGATAAAGAGCAATGACCTACAACCAAGATTACTCTATCCTGCAAAGTTATCATTTAGAATTGACGGACATATAAAGAGTTTCCCAGACAGATCATAGTGAAAGATGGTGGTAGGCAGGACCAGAGGGAGGGTGAGTGAATTAGTGTGTGAGAGAGTGTGAGTACACAGCTGAATTGTCACTGATACAACACTTAAGGCAAGAGAAACAAAGGAAAAAAATGAACGCATAGGACTACATCAAACTAAAAAGCTTCTGCACAGCAAAAGAAACAACCATCAAAACAAAAAGGGATCATACTATCTGGAAGACCATAATCACCAATGATGCATCAGATAAGGGTTAATTTCCAAAATATATAGAGTGCTCATACATCTCAACAAAAGGACGACAAAGAACCCAATTAGAAAATGGGCAGAGGACCTAAATAGACACCTCTCCTAAAAGAACATACATATGGCCAAAAGATATATGAAGAAATGCTCAACATCCCTAATCATCAGAGAGATGCAAATTAAAACAACTATGAGATGTCAACTCACACCTGTCAGAATGACCACCATCAACAAATCATCAAACAAGTATTGGTGATGGTGTGGAGAAAGGGGGACTCTAGTACCCTGCTGGTGGGAATGCAGACCGGTGCAGCCACTGTGGAAAACACTGTGGTGTTACCTTAAAAAGTTAAATATTGAACCGCCATTTGACCCAGTGTTCCCACTTCTAGGAATATACCCTAAGAAACCTGAAACACCAATTAGAAAGAATATATGTACCCCTATGTTTATAGCAGCACTATTTATAATAGCTAAGATCTGGAAACAACCCAAGTGTCTATCAGTAAATCAGTGGATTAAAAAGCTGTGGTACATGTACACAATGGAATTCTGTGCAACTGTAAGAAACATCTCTTATCCTTTGAGATGGCATGGAAGGACCTGGAGAGTATTATGCTAAGCGAAACAAGCCTAGCAGAGAAAGACAAATATCACTTGATCTCACTTTTTTGTGGAATATAATGGACTAAACAAACTGCTTAACAAAATTAACCCAGAGACATAGAAGTGGGGTATAGACTGACAAGCCTCAGAGGAGGGGCTTAAAGAGATAAACCACAGAACTTACATGCATGTATGCATGACCAATGAACATAGACAACAAAGCTGGGGATGGGGTAGGGGGGAAAGGAGGAGGGTGTCAATGGGGGAAAAAAGAGAAACATCTGTAACAAAATCAAACTAATAAATAAAAAATAAAAATAAATTTAAAAAAGTTTTTCAGACAAGACAAAACTAAAGGAGTTTATCACCACCAAACCAGTATTATATGAAATGATGAAGGAGAACATAAAAAATATGAACAATATAATGACAGTAAATACATATTTATCAACAATTGAATCTACAAAGAAAATGAGCAAGCAGAACAGAAACAGACTCATAGATAGAAATAACATTTTTGTTGCTTGCCAGATGTGAGGGGGCTGGAGAAATGGGTGAGATGAATGAAGGAATAAAGAAGTACAAATTTATTGTTAGACTGATGAACCTCAAAGGGAAGGGGGACGAGGGAAGGGAGGGTGTAAAAAGATAAACTAAAGAACATTTATGCATATATACATAACCAGTGGATACAGAAAATAGTCTGGGTAAGGCAGGAGGGAGGTGGAATTGGAGAGGAGGGAGTCAATGGAGGGGGAAAAGGGGGACATCTGTAATACATTCAACAATAAAGATAAGTTAAAAAAAAAAAAAAAAGAATTTGCTTCCTGGCAGTTGTTGCCAGTTTGGTTAGAATAAACATGTGAAAAAATATGATAATCAACCAATAAATAATTGTGTAAAACCTGCATAAAAAACTATTTTTTTTCCCCAGGGAGACATCAAAGAATTGAATTCTGCAAAGATATTAATTACTCCTAAATTTGTTTATAAATTCTGATTAGAAAATTCTACAGTACTTTTTGGATAATTGAAAAAAATGATATAAAAGTTTTACCTAAGTAAAAATATGCAAGAATATCTAGGAAATTTATTTAAAATAAATTTACAACTTCTGGTCAAGATGGCGTTGTAGGTAAACGTGGTATCGCGTCCTCCCACAACCACATCAAATTTACAAATAAACTACAGAACAACCATTATTCAAAATCGCCTGATATCAAGCTAAATAGAAATCCTACGACTGCAGAATTAAAGAAGCAGCCACATCGACGCTGGTAGAAGGGGCAGAGGCCACGGGTTGGTCCCACACCCATGCGTGGCAGATAAAAATCAGGAGGACACCTCAGCTGGGAAGATCCTCCCTGAGGACTGAGGGGTCCCCATCCCACACCAGGCACCCTGCTCAGGGTTCCAGTGCCAGGAAGAAAATCCCCATAACTTCTGGCTGGAAAAACCAGCAGGAACTGAGGCTCAGAGAGGCTGAGGCAGCTGGAGCCCCAGGCAGCTCCTCTTAAATAGCCCACGCACAGACTTAATGGACTCACTCCCTCTAAACTTGGAGGGGAGACAGCTCGAGGGTGCCAGAGACATACAGGGAAGAACTGAGCTGTTTGGCACTGGAGGGAGGGCTGGAGAAGGGGCTTTCTCTGGGACAAACATGCTGTCAGAGGCCTTTGTTCCTTTGGTGAGTCCTTCCCTGGGGCAGCAGACAGCTGCCATATCTGGGACTCCAGCTACCTGGCTCACACTGTTTGCCCCACCCTGGTGATTCCCTGAGGCCCTGCCCCACCCAACTTTCAGGCCCATCCAAGCTGTTGCCAGTTGCTTAACCATAGGATTGGCCTGTCTTGGATCCTGCTTCAGGTTTTCCTAAATTCCTTCAAATAAGCAGCATCTGGTCTCAGCTCCCCCATACCTCTCCTTAAGTAATACATAGAAGCAAACACAGGGAGGCAGCCAAAACGAGGTGACAAAGAAACAGGTCCCAAATGAAAGAACAGAACAAAACTCCAGGAAAAGAACTAAGCGAAATGAAGATAAGCAAGGTAACAGATGCTGAGTTCAAAATACTGCTTATAAGGATGCTCAATGAACTTAGTGAGAACCTCAGCGAACTTAGTGAGAGCCTCAAGAGCCTAAAAAAGGACCAGTCAGAAATGAAGGATGCACTGTAAGAAATAAAGGAGGCATTAATTGAAATAAAGAATAATTTACAGATTCAATAGTAGAGTAGGTAAAGCCAAGAAGCAAACCATCGATTTGGAACATAAGAAAGCAAAAAACACCCAATCAGAACAGCAAAAAGAAAAAAAGAATCCAAAAAAAATGAGGATAGTGTAAGGAGCCTCTGGGACAACTTTAAGCATGCCAACATTTGCATCTTGGGGGTGCCAGAAGGAGAAGAGAGAGAACAAGAAATCAAAAAACTATTTGAAACAATAATGGCAGAAAACTTCCCTAACTTGGTGAAGGAAACAGACATACTAGTCCAGGAAGCACAGAGCCCCAAACAAGATGAACCCCAAGGGGCCCACACCAAAACACATCATCAAAATGCAAAAGGTTCAAGACAAAGAGAGAATCTTGAAAGCAGCAAGAGAAAAGCAGTTAGTTACCTACAAGGGAGTTCCCATAAGACTGTCAGCTGATTTCTCAAAAGAAACTTTGCAGGCCAGAAGGAAGTGGCAAGAAATATTCAGAGTGATGAAAAGCAAGAACCTACAACCCAGATTACTCTAACCTGCAAAGCTGTCATTTAGAATCAATGGCCATATAAAGAGTTTCGAGTTTCCCAGACAAGAAAAAGTTAAAGAAGTTCATCACCACCAAAATGTTATTATTTGAAATGTTGAAGGGTCTTTTTGAAGAAAAAGATAAAATATATGAACAAACAAAATGGCAATGGATACATATCTATCAACGATTGAATCTACAAACAAAATGAACAGGCAGAACAGAAACATTCTCATAGATACAGAGAACAGTTTGTTGGTTGCCAGATCGGAGGGAGGTTGAAGGAATGGGTCAAAAAGGTAAAGGGTTTAAGAAGAACAAATTGGTTGCTAGACTGACAAACCTTAAAGGGAGTGGTGTTGGGGGGTGAGAAGAAATAGACCAAAGAACTTATATGCATAACCAATGGACACAGACTACAGTGTGGGAAAAGGCAGGAGGGGCCAAAAGTGGGGAAGAGGGGGTCAGTGGTGGAAAAATGAGGAACATCTGTAATACATTCAACAATAAAGATAAAAATAATAAAATAAAATAAATGAACAGAGGGCAGTCTAGCTGCAGTAGAAATTAAAACAATTGTAAGGTTTTAATGGGGGCAGGGCCTCATGCCCAGGCCCAGTGCTAGGATTTAAATCTTATTTAAAACAGCCATGTCAACACTTTGCACGTGCCTCTGGAACTTCCTGATCTCTTCCAGCCGGTCAGTCCCCACCTTGCCATCCTCTAGCACACACTGAATCTGTAGCTTGAGGATGTCTTAGCCCATGGGCAGCATCTTAGAGTCCCATTCCCCCACCCCAGATCAATTGTTCCATCTGGACTGAGCTCACACAGGCCTTCAGTTGGGCCTGTACTGCTGCAGCCTGTCCTCCTGCAGCTGCATGCATCCTCTTTATACTCCTCCTCCACCTCAGCTAATGGGTCAATCTCTTCATCCTCGTCATCCTCCATGGTGGTGGCTGTCTTCTTGATGAGGGGCTTCCTTTGGTATCCTGTGTTGGGTCAGCGGGGCTGTGGCCCCATGGCAGATGAGTTCTGCAGCACACTCAGTCAGGCCTCCAGCTTGGAGATGGCCTGCTGCAGGGCCTGTACCACACCTCACAGCCTCTGGTTCTCCACATCCAGGATGGCAGTCTAGATGATGAGTTCACTGTGATCTCCACTGAGCTGTTGGAGGACCCAGGGATTTCTGGATGTTATATCTGGATCTCACAGTATCCTGGAGGATCACCACTAATGCTGTGTGTGGGAAGCCAGCCACAGGCCCGTTTTATCTGCTCAGAGTTTCCTTTCTGCATCGCCATATTTGAACTTGTTGAACCAGATCATCTTGTGCACTAGGAAGTCTGTGGCCATTTTCCTGATGCTTGCTAAGGATGCAGTGACCAAAGAAGAGGGCTCTGCGGAGTGGGCTGGCTGAGAAAAGGGCTGAAATATGATATGGTGATTAAAGTAGTATGGAACAGAATAGAAAGTTTGGAATATTTATCTGGCAGGGAGACACCATGATCACGCAAGTTTTCCCAAGGCCAGGCTTAGCCATTGCACTCCAGATCTGCTGACCTCTGTGATTTCACCAAATGTGGGAAAATCAACTGCATACATTAATTTGTGGTAGTAGGGGACTGTGTTGGCATTCTCCTTTGGAAGACTAAGAAGGTTTGTAAATAAATTAAGTACACATGACAACTTAGATTTTGGTAAAGGTAGAATTTTGAAATTAGTAGAGAAAAGCTAATAAAGGTGTCTGGAGTACTAGCTAGCTAGTTGGAGAAATAAAAATGATGTACGACCTCATTCCTTATTTCAAAATACATTCAAATATATAATAGAACTGTAAAGTAGTATTAAAAAATTGGGTGAGGGCCCTGGCCGGTTTGGCTCAGCGGTTAGAGCGTCGGACTGCGGTCCGGAGAGACCCGGGTTCGGTTCCCGCTAAGGGCATGTACCTCAGTTGCAGTTTGTCCCCGGCCCTGGTTGGTCGTGTGGGTGGCAGCCACTCGATGTGGCCCTTTCACATCGATGTTTCCCTCTCTCTCTCTTCCTCTCTCTCCCTCCCACTCTGTCTGTACAAAAAATGGAAAAATGTCCTCGGATAAGGATAAAAAAAAAAAAATTGGGTGAGGAAAAACAACAACAAAAAATGGGTGAGGCTTTTGTAAGCATAGAACAAAACCAAGAAGCTCTAAGGGCAAAAACACATAAATTCAACTGCATAAAAAATTTTTAAATCTGCAAAGCATAGAACAACATAAGATAAATAACAAATTGGGAAGAAATATTGCAACAGATAAGACAAACAAAAGTTTAATTAATACAAAAGAAAATTCTTTCAAATCAATGAAACCAACAATACACTAGGTATATGGGCAAAAGATATGAGAATATACAACTGATTAATAAATGTATGAAAGCTACTCAGTTTCATTAATAACCAAAGAAATGTAAATCAAAATATTTCCTCTGGCTTATCAGATTGGTGAAGATTTAAAATATTGACAATTTCTAGGGTTGGCAAGGGTGTGGAAAAATACCCATTCTTTAACACTGTGGTGGGATTATACATTAGGCGAATATTTTTGGAGGGCATTTTGCATATCTATAAACATTGTATATCTATAAATATTTTAAAGGTGCAGACCGTTGACCTAGCAACTACACTTTGGTGAATCTATCATATATAAATACTTAAAGATGGATATATAGTAACGATCCTTATGAAATTATTTGTGAAGATGAAAACCCCTCAATATACAGGATTAGTTAAATAAATCATAGTAATTCATGCAGTAGAATTCTATGTAATTATTAAAAGAATTAGATAAATCATTATTGTGAATTTTTTTAACTTTTTAAAAATTAATAAACGTTTTGCCCTGGCTGGCTTCGCTCAGTGGTTAGAGCACTAGCACGTGAACTGAAGGGTTGTGAGTTTGATTCCTGGTTAAGGGCACATACCTAGGATGCAGGTTTGATCCCCGGCCCAGGTCAGGGTTGTGCAGGAGGAAACCAATTGATGTGTCTCTCTCACGTCAATGTTCCTCTCTCTCTCTCCCCTCCTTGCCTTCCTTCCACTATCTCTAAAAATCAATGGAAAACATATCCTCAGGTGAGGATTAACAAAACAAAGAAAGACAAACATTACCAATAATCATATGCCAATAAACTTGACATTTAAAAAAATTAATAAACTTTAAAAAATAAAGCAGTTTTAGGTTCACAGCAAAATTTAGCAGAAAATACAGTGCATTCCCATGTATCCTCTGTCTCCACACACACACATCCTCCCTCATTATCAACATCCTATACCACAGTGGTACACTTATCATAATTGATGAACCTGCACTGACACATCATTATCACCCACAGTCCATAGTTTACATTAGGGTTCACTCTTGGTGTTGGACAGTCTATGTATTGTAAGGTTTTTTAAAAATGTGTGAAAATAAAGCAAATAGCATGATTTTGTTTTTGTAAATAATTATGTATATATTATAATATAATATGTCTGTGTACATATAATGTTGTGTGTGTGTGTGTGTGTGTGTGTAAAATTTGAATGATAATTTTCCTGTTTTGGAATTTTGGCTAAAGCTTTAAGCTAAGGACAATAGGCAATATATAACTCTACTTTCTAAAGCAGGGGTGGGGAACATCCGGCCCACGGGCCTTTCAAGGACTGAGAAATCATTTGTCTGGCCTTGCCAACGCAACCACAGGCTGGACTCAAAATTCAATAAATCTAAGAGCTTTTTATAAATTTATATTAAGTAAATCATAATAATAACAAATTTTGAGAGACAAGCAAAGAATGTTCATTACAGGATAGACAGGACACATATGAGTACATGGAAAGTACATGGATATGAGTACAAGACAGACACATATGCTTCCCATTGGTGGCCCCAGGCCTGTCTGTTTGTAGTGGGGTGACTCAGAGGATAGCAGTGTCAGGCAAGCTGGGAGTGTACACACTGCAAAAGGGTTAACATACTGTGGCAAAATTATGATGATCCGGTGATGATGAGACGAGATGCGATGAGATGATTTCACGAGACATTAACGACCTTGCCTCCGATGATTGACAACAATGTTGTCAACTTCTTTGTTGACACAGACAATAACTCCAATCCAACCTTTATCCACATGTCCACAATCAACAAGACTCACAAAAACTGAATCTCAGATGAAGATTCAGGGAATTACAGTACACAGAAAAGACCTCAAGAGTTGATATGACATTGGATATGTTCCAAATCCAAGATACAGGATTAGAACAGTGATCAAAGCAAAATAATCACATTGCTGGTGACACACACACTGGATAGTTATTAAAACTTAAGTGGTGTGACATCCTACAAATGGCAACTACAAAGAAAATAAAAGTTGATGTAGAGTGTTGATCTTTCCAAGAGAAATAGACAAATGATTATTTTTTTGTTGATTTTTTGTCAATAAAATGGGGGAGGGGGACAAACAAAAAATGAAAAACTTGGCAAGCAACAATAGAATGGAACTTCTCTAATCTTATAAAGTAGTACATAGAATGGAACTTCCTTAATCTTCAATATTTTTATCTAATTACTGATTTGAGAGAGAGAGGAGGAGAGAGAGAGAGAAAGAAAAACATTGATTTGTTGTTCCACTTATGTATGAATTCATTGGTTGATTCTTGTATGTGCCCTTAACAGAGATCAAATTCACAACATTGGTGTATCAGGGAAGACACTCTAACCAACTGAGTAATCTGACCAGGGCCAGAAAGTACTTAATCTTAAAAAAAAAAAAAAAAAAAAACAACCCTTCAACAGTAAGCATCAAACTTGAAGGAGAAGTATTGAAAGCTTTCTCTATATAGATTAAGAATCAATTATATCCACTATCACTATTTCTATTTAACATTATACTAGGCAGAAAACAACAATAAGAAACAAAAGATTTAAAGATTTGAAAAAAAGCATTTTTTTTTTCATTCTCACCTGAGGATATTTTTGCATTTATCCTCAGATAGAGAGGGAGGAAGAGAAAGAGAGAAACATCCATGTGAGAGAGACACATTGACTGGCTGCCACTCACACAACCTCAACCGAGGCCTGGGGCAAACTGTAACCGAGGTACGTGCCCTTAGCAGAAACTGAACCTGGGACTCTCTGGTCCATGGGCCAATGCTCTAACCGCTGAGCCAAACTGGCCAGGGCTGAAGAAAAGCATTTTAAAACTGTCATTATATGTAGATTATATGTATACATAGAATATCAAAAAGAAAATACAGTTAATTGTAATTAATTAGAGAGTTTAGCAAGGTTGCTGGACACAAAATTAATATTTAAAACTAAACTATTGAATTACAGAAGTAAATCTTTATGACCTTGAGTTAGTCACTGGTTTCAAAGATACTGCATCAAAAGCACAAATGAGCCCTGGGCAATGTGGCTCACTTGATTGAGCATTGTCCTGTGCACCAGAGGTTTGCCAGTTTGATTCCTGGTCAGGGCACATGCATGGGTTGCTGGCTCGATCCCCAGTAGGGAGCATGCAGGAAGCAGCTGGTTAATATTTCCCTCTCACATAGATGTTTCTCCCTCCCTCCTCCTTCTTCTCTCTCTAAAATCCAATTAAAAATATATATATTTTTTAAAAAGTACAAATGATGCCTTGGCCAGGTAGCCCAGTTGGTTGGAGTATAGTCCAGCACACCAAAAAGTTATGAGTTTGATTCCCAAGCAGATACATACCTAGGTTGTGGGTTTGATTCCCAGTTGGGGCATGTATGGAAGGCAATGATAGATGTTTCTCTCACATCTCACATCAATGTTTCTTTCATATCAATGTTTCTCTCTCTCTTCCTTCTCTCTCTAAAAATCAATAAAATCATATCCTTGGGTGAGGATAAAAAACCACAAATGACAAAAGAAAATAGATAAGTTGGACTTCATAAGAATGTAAATATTTTGAGTAACATAAGTCATCAAGAGAGTGAAAAGAGCCCTGGCTGATTTGGCTCAACAGTTAGAGCATCAGCCTGCAGAGCAGAGTTGCAGGTTTGATTCCAGTCAAAGGTATGTACCTCAGTTGCAGTTCGGTCCCCTGCCCTGGTCAGGGTCATGTGGGAGGCAGCCAGTTGATGTGTCTCTCTCACATTGATGTTTCTCTCTCTCTCTCTCTCTCTCTCTCTCTCTCTCTCTCTCTCTCTCTCTTTCTCTCTCTCCCTCTTCTTTTCCCTCTCCCTCTCTCCCACTCTAACTGAAAATAAACGGAAAAATGTCCTCAGGTGAGAATTAAAAAAAAAAAAAGATTGAAAATACAAGCCACAGAATGGGTGTAAATATTTGTTAATGATATCTCTAACAAAGGACTTGTATCCACAATACATAAAGAGACTTAAAACTCAACAATGAAAAGACAAATTGCCCAATTTAAAAATTGGAAAAGGGCTTGAATAGGTATTTCTCCAAAGAAGATATGTAAATGGACAATATGGATGTGAAAAGATACTCAGCATCACTAATCATTAGGTAAATGCAAACCAAAACCATGTTGAGATACTATTTCACACCCACTAGGTTGTCTATAACAAAAAAAAGACAGACAATAACAAGTTTTGGTGAGGATGTGAAGAAATGGGAATTCTCATATGTACCCAATT